ATGTGTGGCTGGGGTGAGGAGGAGGGGGGCCTCATTTTTATTATGATTTACTCTGTATTTTTCTTCTTCCACATTATGATATTTTTTTTTCTCCTGTGCCTTGTGCACAGGATGAACAAGATGTGCTTGTTTCTCCAGTGGTTTTGGTTGGGATATGGCGTTTCTTGCATTGAGGGCATCCTTCCTAACCGCAGAAAGTTATCTGTCTCTGTTGAAGTAAATCCTCTAGGTTTCCCGAATCTTTACCTGGGATACATAGAAAAGGTGCTTCCTCTAATGTGATCAGCCAAATGCCAACTGCCAGCTTTACTTTCCATGGGATGTGGATTTGAATGATCCTGTCTTTCTGTTTCTTGCTGCCTACTCCCTGCTGGCTGCCCCACATTCAGCACAGTGCCCTGTACTGTGACAGGGTGAAGGTGTTTGAGCTCGGCTCATTTTGGGGAAGAGTAATTTCCAGATTGAGCCCAGGCTTAGAATAGATTGCCTTCGGTAAAAAATATGGGGATCCATATGCTTCCCTGTAGCATTGTGAAGCATCCTCCCTGATTCAACTTGAGAATATTGCTGTTAACTATTTCATACACGTGTTTAGATGGGGCAACAATGCTCTTAGCTGGAATGTGGATCCTGGTAGGGATCTTAAAAGCGATCCATTCATTTCTCTGTTTTTAGGTAAAAGACATCATTTATGTTCTTTAAAGTCTGGAACTCCCAATAGAATGTTGGAGACCGTAGCATATTCCATCATCTTATTACCTTCGATGGTTCCTTTCCACTTGGCCATAGCGTTTTCTCCATTTCCTTTTCCTCTTGCATTTTTTCACTTCAGCCCTCTTTTGCAATCTCAGCTTGCTCTTCCCAGCTGAGACTGACACAAGAGAATGATAAGGCTGTCCCTACTGACTGTGGGAGGGAAAGGATGCAGTAGGGACAGTTAGGTCACACTCAGGACAACATCATGTGTATGCAGTGGGGAGAGTGCTTTCTCGTAGAGATTCCTGACACTAGGAATGGCAGGCTCCCCTTGTCCCGCAGGTCATGGCTTGGGTGGCAGCTGGGATTTCTCAAGGGGCCAGGGTGATTTCCAGTTATAATCTGGGAATAGATAGCCACGGGTGATCAAGTCAGATGGATGGAACACACAGCAAGATGTTCCAACCAAGAGTTCAGTTTGGGCATCTGATAGTCTCAAGTCTGGAAGTGAAGAATCTCTGGCCATACTCAATGAAGGATGCAGTGAATAGTAAATGGTCCTGGGGATGGGGGCTGGCAGGGTACCAGGGCCCACTTACAGACTAGAGGGTCTATTCAATCCTCAGTGGGTGAATACATGTTCATGGGGGCTTGAGGGGGTTGGCAAAGGGAGTTTCTGGAATAGCCAGAGGGAGAAAGAGTAATTTTAAAATCTCTCATTTTGTCCACTCATGTGAAAATGGAATTTGTTGTCAGATCCATGGGGTAAATGCTGGCTGGGAAACTGGACGCAAAGGAAATGTCAGGAGCTTGGTAAATCTCAAAGTGGAGTGGAAGATGAGGAGCCAGTGAGCAGGGGTGTGAGGTAAGACAGTCTAAGACTCTGAAGTAAGAACAGAGAGGCTGGAGGAGGGGGAACAGCTGCACAGCAGGGCAGCCTGAGTTGATGCCACAGGGTTAAGTTGTCTGTGGGCGAGGGTACTTGGGATCTGAATCCCACTGACCTCTCTAGTGAATCAAGTTGAAGCCCAAATGTCATATGACTGTGACAGTATGGTGGCTCAGGGCTGTGGGAGATTCAGGCCTCTGCTATCCTTAATCCTTCATGTAGTCAGATGTGGAGGAGAATCCATATGGGGTGGGAAGTCAAGTACAGAGGAGAAGAGAGACAAATTCAACGGACCAGAGATAAACAAACAATGATGTCTGAGGCTGGCCCCACTGGCTCACAAGAGCCTGCTATGCACATGTCTGTCCAGTTCCAAGTTCTGTGACATTACGCTGGTAAGCTGTTAGCTAGAAATCAGCTGTGATGAGAGTTTACACTACAGGAAGTGGCAAATGCTACAAATCAGGGTGGTTTTTCCCCTTGGGTTGCATTTACTAGCACTCTACTGGGAACAGGACCTCTTTTTTGTGTCCTGTGGATTTAGTGACAAGGGACACTGTTGGGTGCTTTACTCTGTGGGATTAGCTCAGAAACTGCACAAACTGGAGCCCTTGATGAGCCTGTGTTTTAAAAGCTGAGGGAGAGAGATGCAGGTGAAAGAGGAGAGAGTTGGCAATTGCTCTGACAGCTGCACAGGCTGTCACCAGGGGTGTGCTGATGAAGGTTGTTGAAAGTAGCCATCAGTGGCCCCACTTTTAGCCTTCTGGAAACTTGCCTTCCTCTGGGTATGTCATGTGGGCTCTGTCACACGCTGCCAGATAGTGAAAATGGATACAGACTTGCTGAAAAACAAATTCGTATCGTGTTCAATGAACTTAAAACATATGTACCCTTTGACCCAGTAATTCTCCTTCTGGGAGTCTGTCCTAGGAAATCAAACCTAAACACATTTCAAGTTTTTTTAAACCTACAATACCAAAAGATGTTAGCTGCAGTTTTATTTATATTAGCAAAAAGTTGAAAATAATTGAAATGTCTAAGTAGAGCAGAATGGTTAAATAACCAAGGGCATATCTTCTTAGTAGATTATTATGCAGTGATTTAAAAGGATGTTAATATGGTTTGGCTGTGCCCTCACCCAAATCTCATCTTGGATTGTAGTTCCCATAATCTCCACTTGTCGTGGGAGGGACTTGGTGGGAGGTAATTAAATCATGTGGGCAGTTGCCCCCATGCTACTGTTCTCAAGATAGTGAGTGAATTCTCACAAGATCAAAGGATTTTATAAGTGGCTTTTCCCTCTTTGCTCGGGACGTCTCCTTCCTGCTGCCATGTAAAGAAGGATGTGTTTGCTTCCCCTTCTGCCATGGTTTTAAGTTTCCTGAAGCCTCCTCAGCCATGCTGAATTGTGAGTCAATTAAACCTCTTTTCTTTATAAAGTACCCAGTCTTGGATATGTCTTTATTAGCAGTGTGAGAATTCACTAATATAGATGTGAAGGAAGTTTGTAAAAAAATACAGAAATGATTATGATAAGAATACAAAATTGTAGAGTAGCATTTTTTCCAAGCAAGTTTTTCGGAACACTATTCCTGTGTCAAATATATTTAGAAGTACTTGGTATCATATGCCCCTCTCAAGACTTCATGATGCTCATCAGCACTGAAGGTTCTGAGAAGTGCTGTGGCTTAACCTATTGCTTCTTGAACTTATTTCACCCTGGAGCCCTTTATCCAGCCAACGTCTATTACCATCTTTGAACGCTGGTGTTCTGCAGGAGAGAGTTTTGGGAAATGATGACACATAGAATGGTTATAATTAGGTTAAAATTCCACTAGAATATAGAGAAGTGACTGGAAGAAAAAAATAACAAAATTCAAGTCGAGACCATGGGTAAGAATGGTGTAAAAACTTTATTTAATAAATCTTTCTTTTTTCATGCATCTGCCAGAAATTATTTGATATGAATATTATTTTATTAAATAATTATATAAAGGTCTTGGTCTAAATAAATTTGTGTTTTTATGCAGTTTATGTAAGTTTCAGAATTTGTGCTTTCTGCTTAATGAATAAAATATCCATATAACACAGTAGGACATATGATAAGTAAAGAGTATGATGGCCTCTTTGTACAACTGCAATTTTGCTGCATTGGTATTGTGTTAGTCTATTCTTGTGCTGCTATAAAGAAATACCGGAGGCTGAGTAATTTATAAAGAAAAGATGTTTATTTGGCTTATGGTTCTGTAGGCGTATACAGGAAGCAGGACACCAGCATCTGCTTGGCTTCCAATGAGGCCTCAGTATGCTTTTACTCATGACATTAGGTGAAGGGGAAGTACACTTGTCACATGGTGAGTGAGGGAGCAAGAGAGAGGGGAAGGAGGTCCCAGGCTCTCTTAAACAACCAGGACTCCTGTGAACTCATTAATCATCCATTACCACTCATTACCATGGGGAGGACACCAAGCCGTTTATGAGGAATCTGCCCCCGAGATCCAAACACCTCCCACTAGGTCCACCTCCTGCTACACCCACCTCTTCTTTAATGCAACATTGGAGGTCACATTTCAACATGAAATTTGGAGGGGACACACATACAAACCATATCAGGTATGTTGCATTGTGGCAAAGTCAGGGCCTTCAGTGCCTCCATCACTGAAGCAACACACGTTGTACCTACCAAGCATCATCCACCATCACAGGTTTCAAAGCCAGTACTTGCAAGGAGACAAATCTGGGGTTGGCATATTGATTCCTTGCTCTTTTCTCCTCAGGAGACTTGGAGAGGACCAGCTGGCACCATTCCTGGCTAATAAGACAGCCTATCATTGGCTTGAAGTCTACAGTTAAATCAACTCAGGCCCTCTCCTAGACTTTCCCACTCTGGACTCAATAATTCTGGGCTCTGCAGTTGTTTCATAGGCCCTCCTCTCCAGCTCTTTGTATCACTTCTTTATTCACATTTCCCAGTTATCTGGTTAGCTCCAAAGAGGATGCAGTGCTGAGTTGGGGCCAACTCTCGATCCCATGGGATGGTTGCTTGCTGGGTCTTGCTGGGTCTCTGCTGTGTTGCCCATGGTTTCTCATTATATTCTCATGCTGACTGTTCTTAAAAGCTATAACACACAGCAGGCACAATCCCACCACACTGCAAAGCATTTGGCTCTTCCTGCTCACCCACTTTCACCTTGTGATTCACTCTGCATTTGTGGGTCTCTTCCTGTTAGATTTTATTCTTTCATGTTTTTCTACATTTTTATTCTTACCCATTTACTTAGTGGTATCATATCTCCCTTCCTCATGGGCTAAAACTTTATACTGATTGTACCACTAAATTACATTTGGTCTATTTGGGCCAAGAACCCAGTTTGCCGCATTGATCTTCTAATTAAAATTTATTCTCTATTTACAGTTTCTGGGTCATTGGTGAGACTGAATTTCATAGAAAAGTCTTTGCTACAGCAAAACCTCTCTGCAAGCAATACATTATCCAAGCTGCTGGAGGCCAGATTGACCAGAAAAATGGGACCAATAACATGGTAAAGGATCTTCAACACTAGCCTTCAGCTCCTCAGGGTCCAGTGTGCTTGAAAAACAATAAATATTTTAACTCTTACTTTCACCAGCCTAGAGGGGAGAGAGAGAGAGAGTTGTGAACAAAGGACCCCTGAGTGACATGGCTCCTGTGTGGGAGAACTCTCCTAGCTTTGTGACTGAGGTGGGGGCCTGGTCTGGGCACTGCTTATTATTACCATTTTAATTTTTAAAGCAAATTTTTGAGGAAAGACCCTGAAGACCAATGGTTGTTGCTTGGCCACTGAAAAATAAATCTCATTTTGATAACTCCTCTATTTCTCAGTGAATTTCCTTTGCCCAATTATATAATATATGTAAGAGAGTATCCTGGACAATTGTACAGGGACACTGGGAGGACAAAATGGTATAGTATTAGAATTATTATAATACAAATTAATAATTACTAGTAATACTAATACTGATAGGTAGCAGGAGCCAGTAGTCATGAGTGCTGACTTTATGTGAGGCACCTAGTGTTATGTTTTGAGTGCTCTGTACTGCAGAGCACCTAGAGTGATCATTTCTGTTAAATAATGTGAGTTCCCAGGCATTCCATCTTCTGTTCTCTCTCTCCTTTCCCTTACCAAGTACCATGGACTCTCTTTTAGGTATTTCTTATTTTTAGTCCTCTTCTTCCACTCAATTTGAGCCCTCATTGCTGCCCATGGTTGCCATGGTTCCCTACCTTCCTGGCCTAGGCCTCTTCCTTGTCTAACCCACCTGCCAGGTGCCCCAGGCTGACCAGCTGATGATGCCACTTCCACAAGGACCTCCCTGTCATTTGAGATTATTTCATGTCTCTCCATGACCTGATCTGGCACTCAGAACTCTTCACGTTGCCTCCAGGTTACCTTTCTAGCCCATCTCCTATGCCTCTGCCAGAAGATCTTGCTGTAGCCAGGTTGGTTCCCTCCTCCAGGCCTGTGTTCACCCTTCTCATCCCTTCTGCACCACAGTGTCACCTCCCTAAATTCTCCCCATGCGTGGAGTACAGCCAAGCTCTTGCTCCTACTCTAAGTCTTCCCTGAGAACTTTTGCAATCTCTTCTTCCATGAATGCTCACACTCTCAGGCACTCCATTTGTCATTTTAGGTATGTTTTGTGTTGTCATTTAATTTCTCTTTTTCTTAAACATTTGGGTGTCTATATTCCTCCTTCCTCTAGATTGAAAAGTCCTTGATGACAGGGGTCATGGGATGTCTATCTATCTGTCAATCATCTATGTATCTATCTATTATCTGTATACCAATCTATCATGAATCGATCTATCATCAATTATCTATTTATCATCTATCTATCTATCTATCTATCTATCTATCTATCTATCTATCATCTATCTATGTAATCTATCTAGTATCTAGTCCATAGGAGGTATTTAAAAACTCTTTGATTAAAGAAAAAGTATTATTTTCAGTTTCCTTCTCAGATTCAAAAAACATATGAATGTTTGTCATAGAGTGGGAGGCAGAGAGGGAGACTGAGGCATACAGAGGTAAGAGAGAATCAACTGATCTTGAACAGTCATGAACAGAACCCTTAATAAGACTCAGGGCTTTGGAGCTCAATCTAAGATTTTTCTGGGCTTTGCTTAACTAATCCAGAGTCCAGGGTCCCCAGATAGTCGTGAGAAATAACCACTAGCAGGGTAGCTGGAGCATGCTGCAGAGAAATTGTGTGGTACTCATTACTGTTAGGAACAATAATAGCAATTATGATAATAATGATGGTGATGCTGATGATTAAGCAGCGACTCTGGCTGAGCCTGTCTCCAGGGTGGCAAATCCTCCAATGTGTAAGTAGGAATCTGTTTCCTTTTTTCATTGAAGCAAGATCTTCAGCTGGCAATGCAGCCCAAGACCCCAGCCTCCCTAGGCCACAGGGGTGGGAGGGACGGCTCAGGAAGGCTGGCCAACAGGCGTCTGGCTGGCAGAGGGGAGGGAAGTCATTCCCAGTCCCATTGGTCTTGACTGAAAACAAAGTGAGTGTCCCCGAGTTCTCCTATAAACGGTAATGATAACACAATTATCATGCAAAACAAAAATTAAGTTTAATGGTGCAAAGCCAGGGTGTACCAGGGAGGTAATTCATATTAATTATGTTTGGATTAAAAGCTTATTTCTTTTGTTAGCATCTGCAAGTAGAAACTTAGCTGTTAAAAAAAATCCGCATATAATTACAGCCTCTTATGGAGGAGCAGTGTTGAACTTAATGGAGCATCCCTGCACTCTTCAAGCTCCTGGAGAATGGTAATATTTCACATTTTATGAAACACAGAAGAAATAAATTACAGGTTTAATGATAAGAACTACTTGGGCTCATAATGAAATCTGATTGGCCAGTTAATCCACCGAGACCCTCAGATGTGAACCATCCAAAAAGGGTAAAAATGATGAAAAATGAAATTAAATGGAAAAACCCTCACCCGCAGCCTCTTTTGTGAAGGCTGGGGAAGTGCCAGAGCAGGAGAGAAGCCCTCGAGGGGTGAGGAGGAAAATCACTCTCCCCAGGTTTGAGAAGAGCAGAGCTGCTGGAAGAATTTCCCTGCTGCCGTCTTCAGGTTTCCTGTAGAGATGAAGCCAAGGAGAGTTCCCCAGCGGGGAGGACAGGGAGGGATCCTGGGAGGAAGAACAGAAAGGAGGGAGGCAGGGAAAGAAGAAGGAAAGAAGATGGAAGAAAGAAGGAACAGATTTCTTCTAGTGGGAAAGTTTCTGGACTTTCATCAGGGGAAGGAGTATTGACTTCAATAGGAAAGACAAAGACATAATGAAGGCTCATGACTTGGGCTGAGTTTGGACCTTTTTTTCACAAACAAGCAAATATTTTGCTAGGAGGGGAAGGTGAAGGTCTTCTCTTGTCCTAAGCTCAGGGTGCACTGAATTCCCTTGAGGAACATAACACAGAGTGCTCCCGGGAGGGCCAGCTCTGGCCTGGGTCTGCCTTTCTCTCCACAGGCCCCTTGGGGCTGGGCCTACCTCCACTGGGTAGAGTCTTGTGAAGACTTTCCATTTCATTCTGAGAGGTAAGACGGGTGCAACAGAAAGAATTTGGGGCCAGGCGCAGTGGCTCACGCCTGTAATCCCAGCACTTTGGGAGGCCGAGACGGGTGAATCACGAGGTCAAGAGATCGAGACCAGCCTGGTTAACATGGTGAAACCCCGTCTCTACTAAAAATACAAAAAATTAGCTGGGCATGGTGGCGCATGCCTGTAATCCCAGCTACTCAGGAGGCTGAGGCAGGAGAATTGCCTGAACCCAGGAGGCGGAGGCTGCGGTGAGCCGAGATCACGCCATTGCACTCCAGCCTGGGTAACAAGAGTGAAACTCCTTCTCAAAACAAAAAAAAAACAAAAACAAGAATTTGGGCTTTGGCATCAGATAGGACTGTGTTCCAGTTCCTGCTCCAACATTAATTTGGCTAATGATCTTCCATGTTTCACTTTTTATAGTCTCCGTTTCTCATCTACAAACTGGGCTGGTTGTGTAGCTTAAATGAGAATAATATGTATGGGAGTTAAATGTCTGTAGAGCTTGAGATATACCAGGTACTCAGAAAATGGAAATGACTATCACTACTGTTACTGTTACAGACAGGACAAAAGCTTCCTGTCCTAGGTGAGTCCCGCAAGTCACTACATGGTCGCAAGCCCATGCAAAACAAAGACATAACTTTATGAGAATTTAAATGATTGTCCCAAGAACTCTATGTCCTTAGGTCACAGATAGTGCCCTCTCCAGTCCATGCCATGATCTTCCCAGATGTTATACATTTAGGAAGTCCACAAGAGACTCATTTTTGATACCTGGGGCTGTAACTCTGTGGAAACTGAAACCTCATAAGCCTTCTTCCACACTCAGCTCTCAGGTTACATTTTATCATCAGACACACCAGATTTTTATTGTAGCTGCCTCCTCTTGGGTAAAAATGTATAGGTGTAGGATGGGTGATGGTGCAGGAGGCAGGGACCCACAGGCTGTTTTCCCCAGGCCATTGCTGTCTGATGTGCAATGCCAAGGCCTTACACAGTGCCAAGATCCTGCTGAAGATTTGAAGGACTAGTAGAGGTGGTTGGACCAGGTATACTGAGTGGCACCTGGTAGTGGGGAATGGAACATTTACTGAGGGAAATGGAGAAGTAGCTTTCTGGAGCACATTACTGTTACATGAGGCAGGCCCAAGCTCAGAGTGTACCTGCTGCACCATGGCAGGGTGGTGGGCCTGAGTCAAGCTTGATTCTGCCCAGAGGAATAGAAACAACAGCATACACGGGGAAGGGAATTTAGTAAGAATTGGCCCACATGCTTAAAAAGGTGATGTCCCACGACTGGATGTCTGTAAACTGGAGCACCTGAGAGGTTGTAGCATGATTCAGTCTGAGTCTGAAAGCCACAGAATCAGTGGAACTGACAGTGTAGCCCCCTAGTCTGAGACCAAAGGCCTGAAAGCCCCCTGAGAGGCCACTGGTGCACATCTCAGAGTCCAAAGGCCAGAGAACCTGGAGTATGATGTCCGAAGGCAGGAGGAGAAAAAGGCATCTTGTGCTGAGACACAGAGAGGAAGCAAGAGGGAGCTGAGTATTCCCTCCCTTCCACCTGTTATCTCCCAGCTGCCCCCAACCCAACAACCTGTGGGATGCTGCCCCCTAGACTGAAGGCAGGTCTTTCTCTCTTGGTCCACTGGCTCGCTCACCAGTCTCCTCTTAAACACCCTCACAGATGCACCTGGAAATGATGCCTCACTGGCTAATAGGCATCCCTCAATTCAGTCAAGCCAGCACCTCGTATTAACCATCATGGGCACCCTGTGGACTTTTGGAAACTCTTGCAGACCCGTGTTCCTTAGGCCCTGCCTGCCACCGCTCTTGTCCTGGGTGTCCTTGGAATGACATCCCTTGTCTCTCCTGGCTTGGTGGTCCCTTGGAAAATGTTTAAGCTTATGGAATCTTGTGTATCACCTGGTCCTGCCCCCTCATAGCACAAATCGGGAAACAGATGTATCCCATGAACATTGCCCAGTGCAGGGGCCTGCCCTTTGTAGATACTCAATAAATGATATCTGTCCTTTTATTCTTAAGGAACTTGCCTGAGGTCCCATAATGCTCAGGCTAGAAATACAAATGCCTCCCAGTTTTTGACGACCCCATGTGCCAGATAATATGCTGTAATTTTTTGTGTACACTGATGAATTTTTTCTTTTTCTTTTTTTTTTTTTGAGATGGAGTCTCACTCTGTCATCCAGGTTGGAGTGCAGTGT